CCGTCAGGATCAAGGGTTAATCTTCTCAATGGAGCTGCACCGGAATCCACTGCCTGAAACCACAAACTATCGGATGACCTGAAGTTACCCGAGGAATTTAGTATTGCAACTCTGCTGCTGTTATATGTAGACCTCTCACTTCCTGTTTCCCAAGTAAGGAGATATGGCGGCGGCCAGTAGACACTGGTTATGTCTGACACTTGATAAAGAAGGCGGAGGACATTATCGTTGTCGAAGTAGAACTTATAATTACCAGAAGAATAGTTGGATCGGCTTCTTGAGGAGATAAGATTAGTGTCTTTGGTGAATTCTTGATTAGGAAGAAGTGTATCTGTAGGGAACTTAAAGCTTTCCCAGAGGGTGTAAGTACCATCTAGAGTTTGAAGAACAAGATTGCCATTGTTGAGAAGCTTTAGTTGAACAGAGGAAGCAGAAACAGAGTCTACATTCCACTCTGTTTTTCCAGTGGCGTCGGTCAAGATAAGCCCCCCGTTTCTCAAAAGGGAAATCTTTGAGCCTTTGCCTTCCACGGGTTGGTCTCGGTTGGCCATCCAAACAACGGTCTGAGTGGGATCGGATCGGACATTGAGCCAAATGGCGAAGCGGAAAGCACTTTCTCCAATTCTGTAAAACCCTGCATTAAAGATGCCATTTTTAGAAACCAGAACATCCTTTGGTTTCTGAACGTGCAGGGAATCGCCTTCTCTGAGAGTATCAGAGGCAGTGCATGGAGAAAGAAGGAATATTTGAAGGAAAGTCAAAACAAGCAAATAAACTGAGATTTCCATGAATGAAACGGTTTTGCAGTTAATCAAGAAACCCGAGTTCTTGCTCTTATAGTTCTTTGGTGGTCAGAAAGTCAATAAACCAACATACAGGAAGAAGAAAACAATGAAGTCACTGCTTTGCCTTTGGGCTCACGTTTAGAAATTAGAAGTGTAAGACTAGAATCCGGGACCATTTCAGATATTAGACAAGGACATGGTATATTTACACATTCACACATTGAGGGAAAGGCTGAATTTTTTAAAAAGAAATTTGGACATGCCTTTATATCAAGGGAAAGGTTGATTTTGATTGCTAATGAAAAAGGGCAATGACATCAGCCTGACTTTATTTTATTTTATTTATAATTTTCACATATAATTATATTATAAATATGTAGTATTAATAAAAAAAACAATCAATTATTCTTCTCTTCTAAATTAAAAATTATGTTAATTAAAATGCGTCAAAAATGCCTAATAAAGTGTATTTTAGAGCCCAACTAATGGGCTAACAATTTTACGCTTTAAAGTCCAAGTGGTTTTGCCCCAATTTTAAATTTTTTTAAGAAAATTATTTAATCGTAAACAAATTGCATTGGTGGTTTGTTTAGGTGAGCAGTTTTGGTGATTTTACATTGAATGCATTTATAATCTGTCAATTCTAAATTAGAACAACTACACAACTATATATTATATCATGAAATTTGATATTATTATTAAAGAAGGTATTCTTTATACACAAATTTTACAAAAAAATAATAACAATATACTTTTTATTATTAATAATTAAATTTTATTATAATTTTTATGTAAATAATGATGAATAGATAAATAAATCTTAAATATTTATTTTAAAAATAAACAATTAAAATTTTATATGAAAATTATGTATAAAACTTATATGACTAGCAGCTCCAGTTGAGCGTGTAATGTGTAGTAAATATTTTAATCTACATCAAGATTCAAGTCTATGTGAAGACAGTTGTAATATTTTCTTAAAAATTTAGGTTGTTCAAAAAAAAAAAAGTGTGTAGAAAAATTATAGTCATTAATGGACATTTTTGTTGACTGAAAATTCAAAGTTCTCATTTCTTAACCGACCATGAGACGAAGTCAACTAGTCAACTAGTCTTTTCCTTTTTTGATTTCGTGGGGGGAAAGACGTTCCAAATCTGCCAGAAAGGAGCGGAATGCTAAGGCAGTCGTCCTTCGTCACGTGCTCTAACACCCTTCACGTTATGCTACCGGTAGTCACTGAAAATTTGACATCTAAATTGGGAACTACTAAGTCGGTTCTTTATTTTCTTCCTCCTTTTTCGTTTCCCCGTTTCTCTCTCTTTCCCTCACATTCTTCTCAATCCATCTTTAACACCATAAAGTGGCAATCAAAGACTCAAATGTGGGACTCCACCATAAAGATGAGATACTCACTCTTCAAATTGTTTCATTTTATTGCTAGATGTTTTGATGTGCGAAAAGAAGTACCAAAATCGAACATGCTCCTCTCTTTTGTCTCCACCAATTTCTTCTTTCAGCTTTCTTCTTCGGTGCCTTGCCCTACCCAAACAACCTTCAACTTCTTTTCTCCCGATGGCCAAAAAAAATGTTGGAATATCAGTATTTATTTTAGATTATTATATTCACATTGTAATTAATTATATATAATTTAATTAATTGGTTTTATGTCTAAGAATATTCTGTTGTATAGATATATATATATATATATGAAGACAAAAAAGCAATAAACTCTTCTTCAAATATTTCTCCTTTTTTGTTTCTCCTTCATTTTATCTTATTGCCCAAAGCGATTTTGGGATGAAACTGCTTTTATAACATTTTATCTCATTAGTTGCATTCCATCATTAGTCCTCAATAACTAATCTTTATACAATCATTTGCATAGTATTCTTCTTGCCTATGATCTTATTAAGGTTTTTGGTTGTGCATGTTTTGTTCTTCCTTCACCTCATGAATATAACAAGTTAGAGCCTAAAGTTAGATTATGTTGTTTTTTAGGTTATAAGATTACACAAAAAGGATATTATTGTTGGGATCCTGTGTCACAAAAACTTTGAATTTCACATCATGTTATCTTTTGAGAACACAATGTATTGTCATTGTTGTCAGACTTCAAAGTGTCATCCTTTCATCGACCTCCATTTTTTACGAATCCTATTATTGTGTTGTTTTTAAGTGATTTTGATGCAGGTACATTTAATGAGCTTTACAATGCCTCACCACATGCTCCAACTAGTTTTGCAGAAGATGATTTGCTTGCTGGTAATGCATTAAGATAATTCTGAGCCTTCCCTCACTTCATCATTTGTATTGCTTGTTGATGTTACATCTGATATTGTTGAGTTTGGAAATGAGTTTGTTATCCCACTCTTGAGTCATCCTACTCAAGTAAGAAACCCTCTTAACTACCTTTGTGATTATCATTGTTTTTTGCTATTACTTCTTTACATGAGCCTCAATCCCATCAAGAGGCCTCTTTTAACCCTCTTTGATAACAAGCTATGCAAGATGAATTACAAACTCTTAAGAACACTCGTATATAGGATTTAGTTGATCTCCCTATTGAAAAGTCTCTGAAGGGCTATAAATAGGTGTACAAGATCAAAACGTGATTTGATGATTTTGTGAAACGTTATAAGATACACTTGGTTGCCAAGAGTTTTACACATGAGTATGGAATATACTATGAGGAAACACTTGCTTCAATTGCTCGTCTCACATTTGTGCATAGTTCGCTTACTATTGCTGTTATACGAAGATAAAAAATTGTTTTAGATGGATGTGAAAAATACTTTTCTTAATGGTGACCTACAAAAAGAAATTTATATGAAACCACCTCCTAAACTCAGTCATCCTCCAAACAAGGTATGCTAATTGCAACATGCATTACACAAGTTGAAGGAATCCCCTCGAACTTGGTATGCAAAGTTTAGTTCTATTGTGAGTGTGTTTGGTTTTACTTCCAATCCACATGATATAGCTTTGTTCATTCATAAGATTGCTCGAGGTATGGTTCTTTTACTTCTTTATATTGATAACACAATTATTACTAAAGATGATATCGTAAGTATTGATAAGTTAAAATGGTCTTCAGTTGAAAATTTGAGATGAAAGATCTTGATGTTCTAAGCTATTTTTTGGGATTTGAAGTCGCCTCTCCAAATGATGGCTATCTACTTTCTCAAGTAAAGAATGCCTCGAATCTTATTTCTAAAGCTAAACTCAATGATAGCAAAAATGTTTCTACACCTATTAAACCTAATGTTAAACTTACATCTATAGATGGCTCTCCACTTTTTGATTTTACTCACTATTGGTAATTGGTTAGTAGTATAATTTTGGTAATTGGTTAGTAGTATAATTTATCTTATCA